ACATCGGGCTGGCACTCATCTCTGTCAGTCACAGGGTTATGTGGGATTTTTTTTCCACTTGGGTAAACAGGCGCAGAGAGGGTGTCAGGGCCCAGACCTGGTATCAGGGGGTGAGGTTTCCTGCAGGCTGGCTGCTGTTAGTGCGGTGAGGTTGGCAGGAGCTGACATTGAAATGGGGCCGGCGGGGTGAGGGAAGGGCTGTCCTGGAGGAAGAACGCCCTACACAAGGGTGACCCTGCGCCAGCATAGGGTCTCAAAAGGGCCTGGCCTTCTAGGTCCATGGAGAGCTGAGGAGGGCCAGCCCTTTCCTTGCAGAGCCCACTAGAATCACCCAGGGGCAGCCTGCAGCCTGGTCTGTGCAACACAGGTGGAGGCAGGCATCGAACTAGCTTCCTCTGTGCCCCTCACCCCACGATCCCAGCTCGGGATGATTGGGGAGCAAATCCTGGGCTTCTGGGTGAAGTCACGTTTCAGTGTGTCATGTACCAGAGTCACAGGCAGGACGCCATGTTGCCTGGAAAAAGTTCCCGGTTATTCCTCAATGTCATGAAATGGTCAGGGTGTGTGCACTGCCTGGCTGGCTTATGTGGGTGCTGCTTTTTTTTTCCCCCCTTTTGACTGTTTATTTAAGCCAGTATCTAAGTAAGGCAACTGAGGAATCTAGAGCGGCTGCCCTCCCCTCCGCCAGTCAGATGGAATTGGTGCCCTGCCGTAGGAGGCCATGCGGAGGGTTCGGGACTATCTTTGTGCTTGGACTGTATAGATATGTGTGTGTGTGTATGTGTACATACATCATATGCACATCCGTCGTATGGTGTGTGTTACAGATGCATATGTTATGTGTGTGTATATAAGACGTAACGTGTCATAGCGTATGAATGTTACCATACAGGTACTAAAAAAAAAAAAAAAAACCAAACTCACTGCCATCAAGTCGATTTGACTCACAGTGATCCCTCCTTGGAAACGTCCAAGGCAGTATGGAAATAGATTGCCCAGTCTTCCTTCTGAGGAGTGGATGGTGGATTTGAACTGCCAGATATACATCAAAAACCAAACTCACTGCCATCAAGGCTCTTCTGACTCATAGTGAGTGACCCCCACAGAGGGTTTCCAAGGTTGTAAATCTTTATTGAAGGAGACTGTTTTTTAGAGTGACTAGTGGATTTGAACCACTGCCCTTTTGGTTAACAGCCGAATGCCTTAACCACTGCACCACCACAGCTCCTTCTGTACTCTGTGCTGTGTGACTGATAGGTACTGGCTGCCCCGACTTCCTGAGAGTGCTAGCAGGATAGTGGCCCTTCAGATCTAGGCATTGGCTGAGAGCCTTTTCAGTAGCTCTGTTGATTTCTAGTCCCCAGACCAAGGTCACTGCAGCCAGCTCGGTGGGCTGGGTGCTACATCTGCCATTCAGCTGGGCACAGGCCTCCTCGAGGGGGGCAGGACCCATGTGACCCAGCAGAACAGGGGGCAGTTGCTTTCAGAGCAGATAATCTGGTCAGCTGCTTAATTGGGGTCCCAAGTTCTCTTCCTTTACGTCCCTCCTCTGCTTGGGGCAGGACACTACCCCTGCAGGGGTACATGAGTCTAAGGGCCCGTGCCCTGTAGGCTTGACATCCACCACTGCGGCCCTGAAGGAAGAGGTCAGAGGTGAAGCCGAGCATGGGAGGCAGGGCTGCCCAGTAGGACTTCCCGTGCGACTGGCAGCAGGTTGGACCGTGCGGAGCCCTCGCTGCCCGGGTCAGGTGTCACTGGTTGTGAGGACTCGAGGATGGTGTGATGGGCTCCCAGGCCGTATGCCCGGTGGTTCTCAGGGCAGTGGGCCCCTCCCCCTACCTCTGGATTGGCGTCCCTGGAGTCGGGGGACCCAGCAGTTGTCCAAGTCTCTGCCAGGCTGTCTGGCCTCATCCAGTTGCCTCTGCCCCACGTTACAAACCTGCCCTCAGGTGGCTGGTCTTGGGCAAAGTAACCTCCCAAACAGCTCATAACCTCTGCTCCCCTGTCTCTGCCCTGCCTCCCTCCTCCCCTCCCCATAGCTGCAGGGTCTGGCCTGGGCAGGCAGGGTTGCTACAAGGCCGCCTCACTTGCATGTGGCCTACTTCCCCACCTCCCCCAGAGACTCCACCCCCATTTTCTAGAACTTTCTGTGTCTAGAGGCTGCGATCAGTGACACAGCTGTGGCTTAGAGCTGCTTGGTGGAAGACACTTGAGTGTCCGTGGGAAGAGCTCCTTGGGGCAGCCCTGGGCGACCACCTTTGATCTCACTTTGCTGTTCCTATTTTCAGGGTGGGAGTTTCCTAGATTGGGTCACGGTCAAGCCCCAGGCCTTCTCAGGGGCCCCTGGCCTTGGGTTCTTTGCTGAGAGGGCCCACCTTGTGTCTTCTGGTAGCTGGGGGTACCCATATACCCAGCCTCTGGTGGCTGTAATAGGCCAGGCGCCTCAGCAGGTGGCGCTGTGGCTCTGAGGCACCGGGCTGGAGGAGCTGGAGGTGTTAAGGGCCTCACTTCCCTCCCTGGCCCCACAATTAGATCTGCTGCCTAGAGGTGCTAGCTCACCTAGAGTGGGGGGTGTGGGTCAGTGGCCATGGGTAGGGCCGACAGGGGGCGGGTCACCGTAAGCCTGGAATATTCAGAGAGGAACTTGGCCGGCCCCTCCTTGCGTTTTCCCACTTCCTCCTAAGTTGCTAGGGAGGGGGCAGCCTAGTGCACCCGGGTCACAGGGAGGCTCTCCTGACTTTTCTGGTTGCCCAGATGCCGGGGAAGCTGAGCTCAGACCAGGCTGAATCAAGCCCATGGGAGTGGATGACAGCTCAAGGCCGCAGCCCCTTCATCAGCGTGCCTCTCCCTCAGGAGTGCCCTTGGCTCTGAGATTCTCACCTTCTGTCCACAGTGATCTCAGAACAGTTCTTCTGGGAACAGGACTGGGAAGGTCAAGGGTAGAGCAGTGAAGTGCAGGAGCAAGACGACCAGTCCTGTGCCATTCCTAGAAGTTGGTGCATGTCCGTGTGTCCAGCCTGGTCTCTGTCCCTGGGGAGTTGGATGGATGGGACCAGCCAGAGAAAGGGCGCCAAGAGGGCTCCACCACAGTGGGGAGTTTGAGGAAGGTGGTTGGGAGGGGGCGGTGAGTCTGAAGGGCCATCAGTGGGTCTAAGTCTGGGGGTAAAGTGAGCTCAGGAGTGAGGAGGAAGAATAGCACAGAGGTGGGGGGTTGCTTGCAGCCTCATGTGCTGCAGGCTGCTGCTGGTTTTGCAGTCAATCCTGAGCAGTCCCGGCCTTGCTGGTACGTTGAGGCTTTGCTGGGAGCGGCGAGGATATGGGACTTGTGCTTAAGTTCATTGAGGTCTTCAGGGAGAGGGCCAGCGGAGGGAGCAGTGACTACAGGAGGCGTGGGTTTGGGGTGGGTGGTGTGAAAGGAGAAGATGGGAAATACCTGTTCTGCCCTGAGGGCAGTGGAGGCTGACAGTGGTGGGGGGCATGTGGAGAGGAGGAAGCTGGCCCAAGGCCTTTAGAAGGTTCCTCGAGTTGGGGACATACCCTTCTGGTGGCTGCAACCTGAGGTATGACTCTCCCCATAGCCTGGGGGTGCTTTACAGGAGGACTGGAGGGCTGACCAGGGCCCGGCTTTCCTGAGGACGCTGGGTGTGTCTTACTGGACTGAGTGTGTGGGCCCCACCCCGGGCTTGGCACCTCTTGGTCTTCATAGCTGTCCAGGCAAGGGCTGGGAAGGCCCTGAGCCTAGCCTCTCTTGCTCGCTCACTGTGGCTGCTGCCAACCCTTGCTAGTCTTTGCCAACTGCCACTAGGTGGCATCCATGGCCTTCCCCACCCTTGCTCACAGCCAGAGGACTCATTCTGGGATATTTGGGCGCAGTCATACTAGCTTTTCTTAATAGACCCCCTCTAGTGACTTCCAGCCAGGCCAGCGTGAGTCAGGCTGACTTCTTCACTGGCTTCTGGGGCAGCTGGTAGTTCCCTCCACCTCCAGGGCGCCAGCCCAGTGGGGGGCAGGCCGGTGGGCTGGCCAAGCTGGGAGGGAAACCTGAGCCCTCGGCCACGAGGTTCCTGGACACTAATTTTAGCGAGCACATGTCACTGGAAACTCTCCTCTCCTGCCAGGAACCAGCTGCCTGACTGGGTCTACGCTGCCAGGGTCTGGGGCTGTGCCCCAAACCAGGAGGGACCAGTGGGCTTCCACGGTCAGAGGTGGAGGTGCTCATCAGTGGAGCAGCCTCAGCAGGGCCTTGCGGGGGACGCCGAGGCCAGGAGGTGGAGCCTGCTGGTGGCCTTGGCCATTCTCTGATGGCCTGAGCTGCTGGTATGGGTGTCCAGAGCCTGTGGGAGAGCCTGGTGGTCACCAGGAGGGACTGGCTTGAGAGCCAGCTGTTGAGAGCCACATGGTCTCTTCTGAGCAAGCACTTCCTTTTTTAAGCGTCCAGGACCAAGCGGGGTTTCCCCTTCTTCCCTGGGCCGTCGCACGGAGCTTGCCTTCTCAGCCTCCTGGCTGGCCTGCGGCTCCTCTGCAGCCTGCCATCCTTTTCCCAGGCGTGCTCGGGCTCCTCGGGGGCCGTTCGCAAGGAATGAAGGGAGTCCTTCCCTCCTTTTTCTGCTAGCTGACGTCTCGGGATCTGTGTTTCGGAAAATAGAGTAGTCCGTTCCCTCTACTTGGGGACCAGAATCTGCCCCTAGTTGCCAACTGTTAGTGCCTTGTGCCTGGTTTCGACCTCGGAGGGGCTCCTGGGCTCCAACACTTCCTTCCCTGGGCCCTGTGCTTGGGCTCTGGCAGATGGCAGGCGTGTTCCAGCAGTGCCCTGTAGGAGCACATGTGGGAAGGGCACTGGTAGGCAAGAGTGGTCCCTTCCCTTTTCTTACATCGCCAGACTGGGGGCACAGGGCCCAGTGGCTGGGGGCAGGCACAGGGCGGAGAAGGCCCACAGCGGTTTCCACTGGCGACTTCCTTCTGTCTTTATCTCCCTGTGCTCATTTCATGAACATTTGCAGTCTGCTTCGCCGCCTGGTGACTCTCATCTCCCAGCAGGCCACACTGCTGGCCTCCAACGAAGCCTTTAAAAAGCAGGCAGAGAGTGCTAGCGAGGCAGCCAAGAAGTACATGGAGGAGAACGAGCAGCTGAAGAAGGTACGTCTGCCCGCCCCCTCAGCATCCCAGGCCGCCAGGACCCTGTGACAGCCAGCTCCAGGGCGTGGGGCCCACAGCCCGTCCTCATGCCCTCCGACCTGGAAATGGTCTGGGGCCAGACTTGGAGTTAGTCTGCTGGGTTCCAAGGCTGTTGAGGGCTGGCTGGTGGAAGAGCTGGGAGGAAGCACGTGGGCAGGTGGCCTGGGGCGGACACGCGGTGGGTCTGAGTGGGGGAGGGGCACTTGTGCTCAGCTGGCCTTTGTGCCCACGACTCCAGTGGGGGCTCTGCGTTCGTACACAGGCTGGCCTGCTGGGGTCTGCTCTGCTCATCAGAGGAGCCCGGCCTGGGGGGAGATGGGGGTGGGCTCTGGGGGCTCTCCTCCAGGCTGGGGTCAGGTTGGAGGGCAAGAGTGAGCTGCTGCTGGAGCCGGGGAGCAGGACGGGGGGCGGGGCTGGTTGGTTGGGGCCCCTGGCAGAGACCCCCAGGTGCACTTGGATGGGGAAGTCCAGGTGCCGGGGAGCGCTTGCTAGGGAGGAGGGAGGCCGTGTAGCCTGTGAGCTGGGCCAGGTGGCCCGCGGGCCCTTCCCATGCCCTCAGCAGGCAGCCAAGCCCTGGCCTTTGATGGGTGACCTGGAAGGAGCCAGCGCTGTGCTGATGTTCTGAAGGAGCAGATGCCCAGGGCAGCCTCGTGGCGGGGGGTAGGGGCTGGAGCCTCGCCGTCCCTCTTGAGTAACCCGGGCCTTGGCTTTTTTCCTAGGAAGCTGGTGTTGACCGAGGCAAGTTGCAAGCCGGAGACACTGAGGGGAAGGTGGGGGAAGAGAACAGGAGCCTGAGGGCGGATCTGAAGAAGCTGGAGGAGGAGCTGGCCGACAGCAGGCAAAGTGAGCGGCCTCCAGTGTTCCCCACCCCCGAGTCCGGAGCCTCCCTGGGCTGGTGCCGCCTCTCCTTGCCAAAGTATTTTTAATGACAAAACTCACGCTGCGCAGGACAGCCACTGGCCGGGCCTCAGCTGGGTGCAAACGCGCCTGTCGCACCCGAGCCTCCGGGCCCGACACAGACATGCCCGCCCCACCCAGTGCAGCCCTGCCTGGCCTCCACGGGCGTCAGCGCCTCTGCTCCCTGGGGTGCTGCAGCAGTGCACGGTGGGGACTCTTGTGAGATGAGGCCAGGGCCTCAGGAGAGGCTCCAGCCAAGACGGGAACTTCAGGGAGGGTGTGGACGGGAATTCAGGGCTGTTCTTTTGGTTGGTGGTTTTGGGTTTTTTTTTTGTTGTTGTTGTTTTTGAAAATCTAAACCAGCCCTCAGGTGGACTGGGTCCAAGCATTGTACGCTGCAGTGGGGCTGAGGCCTCGCCACCCCCACCCCCCACCCCCCACCCCCGGCTCTGCATTGGCCCCAGGGCCACCAGGAGCTTGGTCTGATGGGAGATTTTGCTCCTTGCCTCCCCCTCTCACCCCTAAACCTAGCAGGCTGCTTTGCCTTGAAGTGAGCCCTGGGGCCAGCCCCTTGCTGTCCTTCACTGTCAGGGTGAGGGGTCCTCTCTGGTGTTGCTCCATCCGGCTGTTTGGGGTGAGCCCTCGAGCTGGGGTCAGGCGGTGCTTGGCCAGAGTCCTGTTCAGAATGCTCCCTGACTGTCCTGTCTTGTCCTGGTTTGCATCATTCAGAACTGGAGAAGGCGGAGAACGAGGTCCTGGCCATGCGGAAGCAGTCGGAGGGCCTGACCAAGGAGTACGACCGCCTGTTGGAGGAGCATGCCAAGCTGCAGGTCCGTGCGTCAGCTCTGCCAGGCCCCCAGACTCGGGGCGGCCCCCACCAGTGTCTGACAGAGGGGGCGGTCCCGCATCCCTAGTGGGCCCTTAGCCTGAGCTTCAGCGGAGCAGCGCCCCTGCCCTGCTTTTTGCTGCCTTGGGGTTCACAGGCTTGCTGGGGAGGCACTTAAAGTTGGGGGCGAGTGGCAGGTGCCCACTTTCTCATAGCTTGCCTGGGTGCTGTAGGAGATAGGCAGCAGGGGCCCAGCCCCAAGGGGGTGTGACACCCCTAGGAACAGGGCAGGCTCATGGGGGTGGGACTCGAGTCTCGAGGCACTTGAAGAAGGTGGAGTTGGGAGGAGCCGACACAGCTTCCGAAGGGGTTTGGGTGCAGTGCTTGTCATGGCATGCGGGCTGCCGGGAGGGGTGTTGGGGAAGGTTCCTGGCAGCCCTCCTCCAGCTGCCCTTAATTAGCGTGGGAACAAAGGTGGACAGTCCCACCCTGGCACCTTTGCTCACTTGGACACCTGTCACCGAGGGCCCCAGGAACCAGGCTAGGCCTCGGAGGCTGGAGGTGGGAGTCGCGGGGTGCCCACTGCCAGCTCACTGCTCACTGCCCTCTGTCCCTCTCCAGGCGGCAGTCAGTGGACCCACGGACAAGAAGGACGAGTGAGGCGCGGCGCGGCGCTGTGGCGTCCCCGCGCACAGCCGGCTTCCCCCTGGCGCCAGCACGTGCATGCAGTACCTCAGTTCACTGCCTCCCGCCTCCCTGGACACCACCTCCCTCGCTTGTTCTCCGCCCCCCCCCCCGCCCCTTCTCCAACAGGGGCCTGGTTTCCACAAATTCCCAGTGATTGTGCTTTGGCCGCCCCATCGTCCGTTTCCTAAGGAGGTGGGACCATTGTGGTCAGCCTGGGTTGGGGCTGCTCCCCCTTGTTAGCCCCCTGTGCGCCTGGGGGGGGCGTAGCAGGTGCCGTTCTTGGGCAATAAAGGTTGTTATGATGCAAACGTGTGCTGTTTCTGGAGGCTTTCCCTCCCCCTCAGAAGCCGACTCAGGAGGGCGTGGGGCAGCTACTTTCCTGAGGCCCCAAAATTTGCCCTTGGGGGTTTCTAGGGAGCCAGCTCTAGGTGAGGGCTCCACTCCTTCCCCATACCAGCGGCGGGGTGGGGCCCCATTTTACAGCAGCCTGGGGAGTGTCTGCTTGTCAGTGTCCTGGGGGTTGGCAGCTGGAGGGGGGGGGCGCTGGTGAAACACAGGTAAACTGGCAGGGACAGAGAGAACTTGGCAGAGTGCCACCAGTCACTCCCTGCCCCACCCCCTCTTGAAGGTTTACAGGATGACCTCTGACTAATGCAACTTGAAAGAAGGCTTGTCCTTGGCCATGACCGTGAACTGGCCAGGGGGCTGGGCAGAGCAGAGCTGCTGAGAGGGGCTCCAAACAGGTCAGGGCTCCCTCTGCTGGTCCAGCCCGTGGACCGGGCTTGGCCCTAAAGCCCACCTCCCTGTCCCCAGCCCCAGGCCAGCTTCAGCAGGCTGGCCTCCATGGAGCCAGGCCTAGGGCGCTGGGCCTTGGAGTTGAGGCTGCTGGTCACCTGCAGGAGCTGGGGCTAAAACAGTCCCCGGCCCCAGCACGATGCTCACCCTGCTCTCTGCTGCTACCCTGCTTGGTGTCCAGGGCCTTGGAGGCCTTGGGGGACCCTCTAAGGATGTCGGAGCTGGCAGAGCTCCTGTGGGTGGACAGTCACGCACGCTGCCTTGTCTAGACTGGTGAGCTGCTTTCTCTAGCATTTCTTCAGGGAGTCCCACCCTTTTCCAACCAATCCACTAGATCCTGTCTGCGGAGCTCACCAACACATATGGCCTCCAGGCGGGCAGGGCAGCGGCGCCAAGCCTTCCAGGAAGTGGGCCCTGGCTCCCGCAGGCTAAAGTCCACGGGCCGCTGGCCGACTTCGTCAGCAGAAAGCCTGTTGCCATTCTTGGTGCTCTCAACCCTTCCCTGGCCCGTCTGGGCCCGACCCCTGAGCTCCCCGGGTCAGGGGATGGAAGAGGGACAGGGAACCGTGCCCTCGGGGATGAGGGCTTTGTGCCCTGGAAGCAACCAGTCTCCAGCCCTGTTCTCCGCATCACCCGGGCTCACCTGCCACGGCCACATGCTGCCTTTGCCCTGGTCCTCAGTGTGCCCGACGGCCACCCGCCCAGGGCTGCCTGCTCAGCCGAGCTGTGGGAACCTGGTTCCCATTCTCTGTCCTAAGCACTGACCATGGGAGCGGGCCCACAGCTGTACGGGCTCGGTGGCTGTCTGCTGGCTAAGCCGAGACGCCTGCGGCTCCTCAGGGTGGGTCCGTTGCTGCCACCCCGGGACGCTTGCTCTCCCTCCCACGGCGTCCCACGGCGTCTTCATCCAGGGCCTGGTGGAAAGGAGGCGAGGGGCGCTCTAGTCCAGGCAGGAGATGACCTCAGTGGCAGGCCCAGGCATGGGAATCACGGGGCTTGGTGGGGTGCGGGGAGGATGGCGTCAGGCCCTGCCCAGTGGGTGGGCGGCCATGGGAGCAGGTGAGCGTGGGAAGAGGGGTCGGTCGGGGAACGGGCCGGGGCGTGTGTGCTGCAGCTGGGAAGGCTGTTGGCAGCTGAGGGCCGGGCCAGAGGTTTGGGAGTGAGCGGCCTGGAGGGAGGTGAAGCTGCAGAGAGTTGGCGGGGTGGGGAAAACGGAGGCAGCCCGGGAGAACACCGGTAGCGGCAGCAAGGAGATGGGCCGAGGGGAGCGGGAGCCTGAGGTTGGAGAAACCGATGGGGTTGCAAGGGCCGCGGGAAGAGAGAACTTTTCCCTGTTGGTATTAACGCAAGCACCTTGTGGGTTCTATCAGCCTCGCAGCCTCCGCCCGCACCCTGTGCCCACGCCTCCTGCCTGCCAGTCTGGGTGGAGTGCACTCAGCCCAGGCCACCTTCCGCTGGTCACTGGAGCCCTGCCCTCAACACTGGTCTGCATTCATCACGTCCAGTGACTCTCCCTCCTTCTCTCCGAATCCCATTCATCAGGACCTGCCTCTCCATTCCCCTCCTCCACCCAAACCACTCTCACCCAGGCCGCCGCCATCTTGCTGCGAAACCAGCGAGCATTCCCAGGCCTCCTGGTACCTGACCCCGCAGCGGCCCCCCGACAGCTCAGCTCCCGGCCTCATGCGCGTTCCGGGACGCCACCCCCCTCTCGGCCTCCTTCCCTGCTCGCTGGACAATCTGTCTTCTGCCTCCGCTCCACCTCCCTGGTGAGCTCACCAAGCGCACGTCTCAGCATGTGCCAACAACTTGCCCGGTGCCGTCTCCGGCCCAGACTTCTTCCCAGGGCTGCAGGGTTCTCCTACTCAACTGCCAACAGACGTCTGCCCGACCTGCCCACTCCAACCTCGTCGTCTCCCCATCGCAGCACCTGGCAACTCCATCCTGCCTGACGCGCAGGCCAAGTCTCTGGGGGTCATCCTTGACCCCTCTCGCAGTCCTGCACCCCGTTCACCCCCAACTCCCGTGGACTCCGCCTTCCAAACACAACCCTGCTGTGAAGGTTGCCCATCACCCACACTGCTGCCACCCTGGGCCAGGCAACCACCACCCTTCCCCTGGGGGTTGCTGTAGCCTCCTCACTGACCCCTTCCCCGGGCACCTGCCTGGCCCGAGTCCTCACCTCCTTTGGACCTCAAAGGTCACCTTTCCGGTGACGCCGTCTTCGGGCAACCCTGTGAAAACTTCAGCTCCAGGGACCTCACTCCCACCCTTCGCTGCTTGAGTTGTGCTTCTCCAGCACACTTTCATCCTTAGCTCCCCAAGTGTGTCAGCTCCACGGGGAAAAGGCTACCCATCTGCCTCGTTCCGCCTCTGCCCCCGTTCGGAGACAGTGCGGGGCGCAGAGAACCTCAAACCCTTGCTGGGTGAAGCTGCTCGACTGGGGGGTCTCCGCCCCTTACCTCCTGCACCACCCCACCCCCACCTCCACCCCCCAGGGCAGATGAGGCAGAAGCGGGAGCCGCTTTGGAAAATGACATGTTTTTATTGCTATGTTTGCAGTGGCTTTTTAGCACAGTCACAACGTCCCCGAGGGCCGCCCTCCACCTATGTCAGGGTGTGGGGAAGGCCCTTCTGGGGTCCACTCAGCTGTCTGGGCTTCGAGGTCACACAGCCGTGGGTTAAAGCTGCTCGGTGGAAGACTTGAGATGTGGACAGTGCATCAACCTTAAGCTGGGAGGCGTGAGCCACGTGCAGGACCCCTTTCCTGGGCTGTGCCCGCCTCGGGTCCCTGCCATCCTAGCCTGGCCCAGGGAGCAGGGCGTGGGCAAGGCTGGGCACACCAGGTGAGCAGCCCACATCCCGCGTGACTGAAGGCCGCACGCTCTCACCCCACGACTTGTGGG